ATATTTATTCGATGGGTACTGACATTTATTTTTTAATAAAATATTTTATAATAAAAAAATATACATTTTTCTTTAAACTTTAGCTTTTTACAAAAATTCAATTTATCCTGCTTAAATAAAGGAATTTGGATTTAAGTAAACTTAGTACTTATCAAATATTTCTTATTTTTCAGGTATTTTTTCCCTCAGTATAAAAACCCGCAAACACGCGAGTGCTTCCCGGCTTTGTGGCTTTTCACTCAAGTGCCACCTTACTTTCGTCATCGAGATACTCTCAATCACAGCAGAAATGCGAAAGAATGACGTATCACGACGCAGTTTACTTCAATCTTCGTCAAGCACGCAAAGTATGCGGAAGTTAATAAAGGCCGAGTCGAGTTTTACGGCAGGTTTCGTGCAATACCGGCAGCCAGTATATTCCGGCCCGGAGGACTTAAGTCCCTGCCTTCCGAAAGCATCGCGTCCTTTTGTTCGTAAAGAGCGGAACCCAATAACCGTGAAAGGAGATTAAGCTTAACAAAGTGTCCTCGAGTTTACCAAAGCAACGAGTTAAGCGGAATCCCCAACTCGTTGTCGAGGCTACCCAAGACGAGACTTGGGCAAACTCGCGAACTCGTTAACGAGTGAGAGAGGCTAGTTGACCACGGCGACCTCGATTTGCAAACCGAACAGCGCGACGCATTTTTGCGACTCTGGCGCCGAGCTCTTAATCGAATAAGTTCTGTGTCCGAGAGCCGAACTGTGAAGATGACACCTCTCTCTCTCTCTTTCTCTCTCTCTCGCGTTTGCGCTGCGGTATTAGAAAATTCATTAACTTCTAGAGCCGAGATATCTCGTCCCCCTTCTCGTCTTCCTCGGTTTCGTGTTTAAATATGGAGGGAGAAACATCGGAAAAATTCAAGGTGTCACAGTGGCGAATAGTTTTTAAGTTACGAGCGACAGCTCTCCCCGACATCGTCGCAAAGTGTCACCGCGAAAAGCACAAGGGGACCTCAACCACCATCCGCGAAGTTTTTAACGAGTCGAGGGCTCGCGCGTTGCGGTTTCAGCTCTAAAAATCGCTGAGTTCGTCACAGAAACTCGATGTGCGTGTGTGTGTGTGTGTGTGTGTGTGTGTGCGTGTGTACGTGTGGATGGTCGGTGGCTGTGTGTGTCGGAGCCTCGTCAACGAGATTACCGTTAACCCGAAAGTTCGCCGAGGTAGCCTCGAGGAGTTGTTTCGCCCGAAACTCGCCCCTTGTTGGCGAGGGTAACTCCTGTGGGCTCCGCTGGGCAACGAGGTTACCGTTAACCCTGTAGTTAACCGACGAGCTAAACCGATTCCGGTCGCAATCCTCTTTTCGCCGGCTCACCGCAAGCTGCGGAAGGAGGGTGGCGAGGCAACGAGCCTATATTTGACACGATATCGGCGCCCCCCATTAGGTTATGAATGTATGCTGATATTTCGGAAAAGTGTGTGTCTTCGCCCGCCTATTACGCGAATTTCCTCCACGGGGACATGCTCGAGAGAGGCGAGGCACCGTGTAAAGCGTACGTGCGACATGAGGCCGGAATGTGAATCGACCTGCTCGTCGTTACTGACCTGCACCACGCGACGTTGTACAAACAGAGAGCACGTAATGCCTGTAGCGGAGCAAACACTTTCCCAAGAATGTACAAAATTCACCAAACTTGCAAGCGCAAAGTTCCCTTCGAGATAACGGCCCGAATAAATAACAGCGCGGCGCTGCGAAGAGGAGGGAAGGAGAGAGAGAAAAGGGAAAAAGGAAGAAGTAGAGAGATATCTAACTTGGATTTAGCTTAACTATGATATTCCTATCATGATCAAAGTATAACTACACGAAATATATATATATATATATATATATATATATATAAAGAGAGAGAAGAGAGAGAGAGAGAGAGAGAGAGAGAGAGAGAGCGAGAGAGAAAGAGAGAGAGGAATTCTACACGGAGAGGGGATATTATAGTTTTTTTTCTTTTTTTATATAAATTCTCTTCAATTTTGCTACGTTTTCAATAGTGTCAGAGTAGACGCCAGTAATGTCTATCTTGCCAAGAAATATACCAAGTGTTTTAGTAGCATATTTTAGTTTTTAAAGTATAAAACAAAAAGATAGTAAATTACTGGAAAACGTCCATTTATATCTCGCTTACAAAATCATGCAGCAATTTTTGCTGTAAAATTCTTTCCGTGTATGCTAATATGTTATCGCTGCTGTTTCGCTTTTTAAAATTTTGACGTGCTTCTACTTCCACTTTGTCTCAGAATTACATCTAACAATGAATAAAAACAAAAAAAAAAAGCGTGGAAAGAATGACATTTGTGCCAATCGTTCGCGAAACTTCCGAGAGTTAGTTTGAATATGCGAGACTTTAAGTAAAGCAAAACTGCCAAAGTTGTGTAGTAAGTAAGCGCAAATTAGAGATTTACGCAAATTACATAGTATGTGAATGTGTGCCACGCGTATGTGAGACGTTGACCACGCAGAACCGATTGCGCGAGATCAATTCTGGAAGAAAAATCACGCGGAATTTCCCGCTGTGACGTTCGCGCGGAAATAGTCACGCACGGACATAAATTTATCTCGAGGAGCTGATGGTTTTATCACGCATAAAACAGATTTTCCTGCTAGCGAAATACTTGGGAAGAGTACCGTGAGCGCGCGCGCACCACATGTGCCGTTACATGAAACACGTGCCTGGTCGCATCCGCACGTTTCGCGCGTGCATCTACGTCGAGAAAGCTTTTAGAATGCCAGCAGAAGGCAGCACGCGTGGTCAGTTTGTAGACGCAGAAATGGAGGAAGAAAATAGAGTGTGAAAGAGAAACAATAGGAGAAAGAGGAAAGAATAGAGAGAGAGAGAGAGAGAGAGAGAGAGAGAGAGAGAGAGAGAGAGAGA